TTTCCCCTAATTCCCCTGACTCGCTTGAACCTTTCCAAAAGATGGGGCAGGTCTAGAGAGCAGAATGTGTCATTAAACAGCTTCGAGTTGCTCTTCCTCTGCACTGAAGACAGATGTTCCTAGGAAAATCAGTTGGCTGGTTAAGACTGCCCTACTACAAACACAGATGAACAGAAGCAGCAGTGAATGATGACACTGCTAGATGATGCTTGCCTTCTTTGAAACTCTCTGGGCTTATCACCTAGCACCATATTAATACATTCATTTCATCATCTGAAGTAGATTCCTTTGGAAGTATTCATTTTTTTGGGAACCTTACTACCAACCTAGTCATCTCCCTGGGCATCTCTCTCTGGTGATAAAAAGGAAAGCAATTCCAAACAGGGATCAACTTTTATCATCAAAAAGCAGGGAAATTTTCTTACACAACAGTTATGCATTGCCTGCACGATAAAGAACAACTGGTTCAGACATACAGTGAGGTTAAAATCTACCAGGGTAAATAACAGGCAAATAACAGGAAGGGTCATCTTGGCCTCCTGTCACCTACAATTCACAGGAGGTCACCAACAGGCTTAGCACTAGAGACTCATCTATTCATGCTGATGAAAATTGGATTTCCTCCTTTTCCTGAATCTATGGAAAGGAATCCACCCTGAAATTCATAGATAGCGATGCCTCCCAGCATGGCATAAGGATATTGGTAGCTGGAGCACAAATACTCGCAGCTTACCTCAGCTAGAGCTCACATTTCAGTGGAATTCTAGGAAGTCACACTCAGAATTATTCATAAAGTAAGAAAGAGCACTTTCCTGCTGTGTCTTACCAACAAGACTGAATAAAAACCTGGCTGTGTCTCCCACTGCTTCAGTTGTTCTTCAGCTGGTTTCAGCACTGCCGTATCTTGACTAGTAGCTTGGGTCAAGACTCGCAGAACAATAGTGCTGGCACTATTGAGATCCATGAAAGTCTGAAAACATTTTAAAAGGGAGAAAACAATAAATATAGCAAATATTGTTACACTTTGAGAAATGCATTTGTCCTATTCCTGCAAAGAACATAAAAGCCAAACACACTTGATTCACTTACAAAATCTGTTCCCTTCCCCCAGAAAAAAATGGGCATACATTTTCACTCATGTTATTTAAATATCCCATGCTAATTTTTCATTAGACTACACAATGCAAGACAGGATATTACACCCACCCATAGACACTGTCAAGGTAGAGGGTGATTAAACTACTTTGCTCTCAGAGGTTTCTCAGCAGAAAAAGCAAAAAAGAAGCCTATCATTACAAGTGTCATTATTAAATTTGAGGAATATCAGAAAATGTTTTGATTTTACTTTTAAATTGATTACCTCTCCTGTGAGGCACAGCAGATGGAGCAAAAGTGCGAGGAACTACAACTTCAGCTGAAGACAAGGCAAACCATGGGATTACCTGAAAAAGGTAGATGAGCAGAATATCAATAGTTTTGCATTTTGTAAATATTTTCTGCAAAAGAGAAACTAATTATTTGAAAGAGCTAATTTCTGTATATTTTCTGTATCTATTTTAAAGCAGTCAAATTGTAGTGTTTCAGAATTAGTCCCAAAAGAAACAGAATTTTCTCATCATATTTGTAGCCTTGGTTACCTACTTCAGCATATAAAAATGCTAGTTCAGCTGAACTGAGAATAACAATCGCCTATTTTCCAACACAAACATTTTCTTGTACTCTGAAGACATAACTAAGCATTGCTCTCCAGATGACACAAAACAGATATTACATTTATCACCACCGCAGAAACAGGATCACAGCAAAGAAAAACGTATATATTACTGTTTAAGTTTGACAATAAACAAAACTTTTTGCTATGGAAAATTGCATAAGTTTTGCAAGATCCACATTAAACAATTTATATACTTTTTAAGTTTTCTAAATAAACAACTAAGCACAGCTTAATTCTATTCTACAAACAGGCCTGGAGAATCATTTTGGTTTATTACTGAAGAACTTAGTTTCTCTTTCCAAGTTTCACCCAGAAAAAAGATTCTAGTTGGAAAACTGTGAGGGTGACAATAAAGTCAATTTAAACCTGATCCCGACAAAAGCATAACACGTGGGTTTGTTTGTTTGTTTTAAAGAGGGAAAGAAAAAACATGACCCTCACCACAACAAAGTTAAAGAACAAACAAGCCCAACCACACTCACCCTCCTAACACCACAACAAGCAGCAAGCTGAAAGCTATGATCAGTAGCCCCACACAATTTAAAAATACACAGAACTCCTGATACATAACCAAGTCCCTAATCATCTACAACAAAGTTAACTAAATATTGAAGCTTCTAAAGTTAAAAGAAATGAAGATAAGCCTGTATATTCAAATCTATTCGCTACTAAATAGTAGTAATAATAGTAATAATTTAAAAGCCAAGTAATTCAACTCTGTCCTAGACTTCCTGATACATCTTCACCTCTAAATTTTGCTGGAGAGTAAAACCATGTTCTTCTGTCTTTTCCACCTGCACCATTTCTACCTTTATCAGTATGCGGATTCTCTTAAAAATTCTTAAAATGATGACGCTTTTACACAAATTTAAACATGCAACCTCAGCTTTCTTCTTAAAAGACTATTTCCTGAGAAACAAGACCGATTCAGACTAAAAAGTCAGTGACAGTGGTTTACAATATAGGGCATATTACTTAGCAAGAAGTCAGGAAAAGAAGTTAACCTGTAATGATTCCAATAAAAACTTACTGTTGATTTCATTTATTTCCCTTCAAAAGTCAAATAGTTTCCTTTGCAAAATAAATGTATACTTATACTAAGAAATAAGGTCTCATAATGTATCATTCTGAAGCCCCTAAAACTTTTTATAAAAAGAATACAGATCATCAGTCTTAACTGATAGATGAAACCTCAAGAAGAGATCTTCCAAAAGTTAAGCCAACCTTCTAATCTGTGTGCATGTGTCCAAAAAAGGGAAGGAGGGAAAAAGAAAGGGACATACACGAAATAGGAACTTCAGCATCAGACAAGCAGACAATTTCTCAAGACTTCAGCTAAACAGTGTTCTTCAAATAATGAGTTGCCATATATGAGCAAAACTGCATGTATATCAACAGTGAATCAGCAGCACATACTAGATATTTGCTGAAGATCCACTCCAAGGACATGCTCATTTGACAAAACACATGGACTATGGAACATTCATTAATGACTGATTTTGCACCAAAAAAGACTCTGCTTGTCAGATAAGATTATTTCTTAGATACATTTAAAATTGATGCAGGAAAAAAAAATGTGTTTTGTTTTTTCTTTTTTGGTGGGAGTGGAAAGGGAAAGGTAGTTTCCTAAGTCAACAGAAGCAGAAAGTAACAGAAATCAGCGAGAAACAGACAAAACTTTTCCTTTCCCCCTCCATGTTTTTCATTCCTGAAAAGGCTCCTGTTCTGCAGGACAGACACTGCTGCAGGAAGAGCCTTAACAGGTCAGAAGAAAAGCTCAGTGGGACTGACTGCAGCGTCCCGTCTCTTGACAGGGACCTTAGCAGATACACAGGGAAGATCACCAACACAGTGTAGTCTTTTTAGTGAGATTTCCAAAGAACACTCTCCCATCCTCCAGAAAGCTGTTTGCAGACTTCCTAATAAGTATGCCATTTAAATTTAATAAAGCTCAACAGATTTAATATTCCATAAATGTGTACGCTTGCTTTCTGACCCCAAGAGAACAATGCTCCTCACAAAAGACTGGAAGAGGCTGCCACAAGCACAGTAACAAACTGAAGACAAATTAATCACCCTGAGAGGAGGATGTTTTGTCCCTTTCCTCCACTCCCCGCAGGCCCCAGCTTCTCCCTTTCCTCACCTTTAGGTCCTTTCCTGGAACTACCAATTGTCACTTGATCATGAAACTTATGCAGGCCCTAAAACCAGGGGCTTTCATCCAAGGAAGGAAATCTGTGCCATGGCCAAGTACATATGAACACAAGTATATAGAATATACAGAATACTGCACACTGAACAGATGGAGCTTTCCTCACAGTTCAGAAAGTACCACAGGATTTTTCCTCGTGCAGATGAAAGAGATGAAGTTAATATAACATACCCTTCAGCAGAGTGAGAAAATCTCCAGACACCACAAATGCCACCACCTCGCTTCACCTGCCCCTGCCAGTGCCCCGCGCTTCCACTGCCTCTCAAACTCCTCCCTCTCCTTTCCACTGCAATAATCCCAAACTTCCAAATTCTCCTTTCTTTGTTCTGCTCTTCCTTCCATAATTTCTCTTCCAAGCATGTATCTGAAGACATATTTTATTTTAGAAAAATAGTCTAAATGCCTTAGTTGTTCTGCCATACCCGTTGAACATTTTCTCTGAAGAGCCACTTCTTTTGATTGAGGCAATTTTTATCTGGGTACTTTTCCCACATTATTGAAATGTATCTGAATTTTAGAACCATGTTAGCCATATCACAAATCATCAGGACCTCTGTATCTACAGGGAAACAAAAGTTTACTTCGGCAGCGCCTATAAACAGCACTTTCCCTGGATTTAACGAACACAGTGTAACAACTCATTCATATCCAAGCAATTAATTCTGTAAATTTTTTTGTTATCTTTTGTTAATGATTCAATACGTTCTTTTCCACTATACTGAGCTGCAAGAATGGGCTCAGTTAAAATTATGTTAAATTAGAGGGAGACAAAGCAGTGAACATATCACCCAAAACGGTATGTGCTCACTGTTAATAGGGCAGACAGAGCTACTCTTGGAGGAACAGGGCAAGTGGCTCAAGGGGCCCTGTTACTAACCAGTAACAGTGCTCATTAGCACTGGTTACTCAGCACCAGGCGAGACTCCTTCTGGAAGTGACTCCAGCTTTGCCATCATCCCTCTCTCCTCTTAAAATGAGGAATGGGGAGGCCAGAGCTAGTGGTCAGGGGGTCTAAAGTGAATAAGGAAGCGTCAGCAAAAGGCACTTACAGAGCGAGCCAAACACTTCTTATCAATGGCAGATAAGAAACAAGCAGCAAGAGCCACAACCACAGCAAGCAGAACATTAAGGAACAGCCTTTCCACACGGAGAGCAGTGCAGCGCTGGGAGAGACAGGCGGCACAAGCTGAACGCCTGGAGACCTGCGAGCCTTGGCTGGACAACTGCACCGGACACGGCCTCGCGGTGACAGCAACAGCCGTGATCCCAACAGGAGGCAAACTGCACGTGCCTAGGGGCGCTTCCTGGCAAAGCTGCTGCAGCTCCGAGTTTCTTAGACTCATCAGAGAGAGCTGGAGGACGTGGGAGCAATTAAAGCAGGATGTAGTGAAAGTTATGGAGGAAAGCGTCTCTTATACAGGCTCACAGAAGAGGCAGTAAGCAAGACTCAAAGCCAAAATGCCAAAAATTAAGAAAAAAAATGACTTAAGTCCTTCTGGCTGTTTAGTCTTCCTGTGACACTATTCTGCTAACAAGTGACTGGTTTGTTCAACTACCTTCCCAGTCACTTTTGGAAAAAAATAATCTACATTTATTCAAAAAGGCATTTCCAGCTAGAAGTCCTGTGGCTGAATGACTCAGGTGCTCTCAAGCTCTACTCCAGTCACATGGTAAGGACTAAGCTTTCTTTGCCCAGATTAACTCAATTGAAAATGGATACCTGATCATTCAGGCCAGTGTCTCCCAGGAATCAAACATGACGATTGTTTCATCCCACTTGAGTCAGAATACAGTAGGTGCCTCAGTTTCACGAGTGGAAGAGTCTAGTCATAACCACATTACAGCATTCAAAACAACCACTGCTCTCTATTCTTTTATACTGGATGACTTCAGGTGAGCATTTTAAATCATATCTATTTTAAAGAAGACATTTCCATTCCAAAGAGCCACAGGACCCATTTTTGGGTTCCCTCCTGAGCAAACAAGCAGCACAAGCGCCAGCTCTCCTTCCAATGCACACATGACACGCTAGCAACACCCTTGGGGATATTGCCAATTTCAGGATCTGATCAAAGTTCTACCAGTCTTCTCGTCACTCAATAAACGTTCTTACATGAGCCTGTTCTAACACCATATCAGCTATGCCATGCTTTAGCATTCCTATTGATCAGCAGAACCTCACAGAAACCTCTTACCATTATCCTGGCTATTTAAGGGCCTCCTGCTACCACTGTCAGCTGAGACCTTACTGGAACAGCGGATTGATTGCTCCTACCTTTAATACAATAAGCCCTTAGCTATTTACCCCAACTACCCATACAAAGAAAAATACATACCCATACAACTGCATACTATTTACCCAAATTAAGCCACACAAAGAAAAAATAAAAGTGTCTAAGGAAGAGTTATAGGTGTGTGTCCATACTGCTACTGACAGTGAGATTTAGCAGCGGACTCCTAACATAAGTCCCAAAGGAAGCAAAAGTCACCGTAAAATTACGGTACGATCACTCCTGGAGAGTTTGCTCAGGCATAAGCTCCATCATAGAGTTCAGCATTCATAACAGAAAGAAAGAAAGAGCCAGAGGCTTTTACAGAGACAACAGAAAACTTTTCTAAATGTTTGCTATTAATCTTACAGCATGGCAAGTTTCCCAAAACCGCTCTTATAGTTTTGAGTTCCTTGTAGCTCACTTCATTTTAACACAGTCAAGAACCATACAGGAGAAGACTCCTTAACAAATTGGTTATGCAACGGCTGACACAAAAACTTCAGTCCCAGCCTGCCTTCCTCCAAGGCAGCTATTTAACGTTGCAACGCACACCTAAAAGCACATCCCGATGATGCATTTAAAGAGTACTATATGTAGGATCTGAGTAGCAGGAACCTTCCTTACTTGATGCATATTGCTAGAATATACTTCCATACAAAAGCACAATGAAGGAATAAGAGGGAACGAAAAGCAGGCTGAGATGAAAAGGCCTGGCCACCAAACATCCCTAAGTCCAAATTCACAAGGAACGCGTGTCCATAAAGGCTGCGGCTCCTGCGCACTAAGCGCATCCCGGGGAGCCCTGGAGCCGCCACCCGGGCGCGGAGCAGCAAGGCACGGCGCGGGGGGCGCCGGCTGCCGG